CTAATTAGTAGCTCTAGGAGGAAGCTAATTAATCTAGATTATAGTAGTATCTTTAAGTATATAACTAGTCTTCTATATATCTATATTATTAAAGAGTATATTAATAGAAATTAACTACTAGGACTCTAGTACTTCTATCCTTACTAGCATCTATATCTAGATATAGAGCTGCTACTAATTAACCCTTACCTTCTAGTGCTTAAACCATATATTATTTATATAAGAGGCAGGCCTATAGGGTCTACTAATTATTCTATACTAGTAAGCACCTAAGATACATCTACCTAGTAAGATCTATTAGTATTTAAATATGTATTAGCTCAGGAGGGGGGAACTATGTATGAAAGAGGGAGAGGGAGAGGTTAGGGGCATAGCTATAGCTATGGATATAGGTATAGAGGTATATCTAGTAGTTAGGTAGGTAGTTAGTAATTATAGCCTTAAGATATATAGTAAATAAATATAAAGAGTTACTAATAGGGTGGTTATTTTCACGGGTTGGGCCGGGTTCCCCTATCTTTAGAACCCAACCCGCCGGGTTCGGGTTCTAGATTTCTAGGGCCCAAACCCAGCCCATAACCCGCGGGTTCTAGGGTAGTGAACCCAAATAGAACCCAAAGAGCCCAAAAATCATTCTCCGCCTGCCTAATCTAGTTAGTATGTATTTAATTTTTCAATACCATACTAGTATCTAGTATATATATATATATATAATATGATTATATATATAAATATAGCATATTAGTATAGAATCTAATGTATTCTAATTACTAGGTATTATAATTAAAACCCATTTTTAGAACCCAAACCCTAGATGGGTTCTAATTCTAGAACCCAACCGGCCCATGGGCCCTAGAACCTGAACCCGAACCCAGCCTATAGCAGGTTCGGGCCGGTTTGGGTTCGGGTTCTTGGGTTGGGTTTAACCACTCTAGTTACTAAGATATGCAGCAGAGAGGTCATGGGGGCTATAGCTATAGCTAATATAGAGGTAGCTAGGGGGGCCTGGCTAGCATACTAGCTAGTATAATAAATATAATCTAATTCTAGTTAGCTAACCCAGGCAACTATAAAAGAAGGCATCTTACTATCTAGAACTTACCTTCCTTCTCTCCTTAATTAAGATCTTAATTAGCTAACAGCTCATCTACTCTACAGGCATAGTTAAAGAGTAGATAAGCTATTAGCTAATTAAGAAAGCCTACATTACAGAGAGTGACTAATAATATATATACTTATTACCTAAGTATATAAGACAGCCCTTCCCTAATCTAATTAGTTGATTAGTGCTAACAAGCCATTAAGAAGCAATCCAGGAAGCCTTCTCCCTAAGCAATGGAAACTGATTTCATCAAGATACAGAGCAGCAAGATCATTGGTTTAGGGGGGGGCAGGTGCGCGCAGCAAAACAGCAGGCTCACTACAGTGGCATGATATTAAGAATGGAGGCTTCTGATTAGTCAGAATAATGTATGATTAGATTACACCATTAGAAGGTATTAAACATGCGAATCCTATCATCAAATTTGTATGGTAAATCAAAATGTTTTCATCCTCCGCGGAGTCCGCCATGGAAAATCTAATTTTACACTGATCACATGATCACACCTTACCCGATTGGGTAAGGGGGGTGTCATTTGAACCTACAGAGTGTCGCTGTAACAATAGGGGGTGTCACTATATCCTTGCCCTAGTTGTATAATCTGACCATACACATTAGTTGTGGCTTTTTTCCAATGCACAACCAATTCAGCTTTCTCCTTTATCTATTGCCAGTATGAACTAGGTTTAAAGACCAGGTCTTGTTCAGTGTGTTTAGTTAAGACCTGGTTATTAAGAGTCACCCTCCACTCAATCAAATAGTTTATAGATGTTGGTGAACCTTCATTATAGGTTCCTCGATCGCATGCAGCCTCATCGAGGAAGCCTAGTCGGCTGGGCTCTGGTCGAAGGGGGTAGAACGTTAATCATCTGTACATTAGGAGAAAGGCTAAATCTGGCATAGGGTTTGAGAAATAATCAAAGAGTATAGAGGTTTGCACCGGTTTTGCAATCAAGTGTATGTCTGCTTCATGTACACCCTAATATCCATGGTTGATCTCGAGGACTACATTGCTGTTTATGCCCATCACAATCTCCAGATCCAACGGCCAGCCGAGCGACATCGGCAACTGGATCCATGGATCGCAGCCTGGGACCCGCCAAGCCTGAAACCCTGCGGTCCTAAGAATGCACAAAAATTGGTGCGAGTGAGAATATTCCAAGATACAAAGACTAGGGAGAAGAGTGTTGAGAGAAATCGGCTAATAAACAACACAACTACACAGCTATGAGCAGGGCAGGCATATCTCTATGCGTACATATATTAGACACTGGCTGTGTCTCTAGTGGCGAATCCAAGGCAATCCTGTGTCTAATTGGTTACTAGGCTCATTAAACTTTGTTTGAGATCGTGATGATAAGAAGACAGACAAATGATGGTTTGGGCCTTAAAATCTTGTATACAATGTCTCACTTGGCAAAGTTTAACTCAACCAAGGACATGTCTGGCCAGTGACCGGGTCTTGAAATTGGGCCTTGTCAAGGAATTAGGAGCACTAGTACCCCGCATACACTGGGAATGCAGCATCTATATGTCAGTTCTTAATGCCCAGTGTCCAGGATTGAGATCTACCGCCAGTCCCTCGGGAAGGTCTGCGATCTCGATTCGAGGACGATCATCCCTCGAAGAATTAAGGAATCGACGCCGCGGAGACTGGGAAGAATTTTCACAATAAACTTTCCCAAGTAAGCCTCAAAATACAATCTCAGCCAATAAGACGGTCACGCCTTATCCATCGCCACGCCTCAGGGCTGAGAGCGATCCGGAAATGGCAGCAGCCACGTGAGATGATTTATGATATGCATGACCCAAATCGCCAGTCGATCGGCTAAAGCGAGTGATACGCGAAGGATCGAAGCTACTGCTGGTCAGTCTGGGGTTATCTGAGGCTTGTCTCCGTGGATTTCAGTTCCTGGGTCTGCGCAAAATCCGAGTGACGGCCGATTGCTCGCAGACTCGGTCGTCAAGTAACATATCTGGCAGGCCCCGCCAGGTGGCGTCTGGTTCCTGAGAAATCACCTCTCAAGTCTGAGAGGGTTCCTACTATTCATTACTACAAGAGGAGATGGACGACGCAGGAAAAGGTGGCTGACCCGGCAGTTCTGTCTTCAAAATCTCTTATATCCTCCATGCACACATAGGCTACTACTACTTGCGCCGGCATCATCCCTGTAAAAGGGCACTCTCACCATGATTATGACTTCGGAGGAATGGGTGTGGATGGCCGTGGTGCTACTCATCAGTATATCAATCCTCCTGTCATCTCTCGAGTTCACAATCTAACAGACATCGAACAGCAACGCTGCGCTATGTATCTCGCATTCTGCAGATGGGCGTGGCGCGCAATCTCCAGGCGGAGGATCTGGTCATGGCGGTGGTTGTAGTACGTTCTTGCTCTGCAATTTCACCGAGGTCATGGATGAATGCTAACTGCCTCTTAGATATTCTACATATTACTTACCGTCTTCCTGGTCCAAGTCGACAAGTACGGCACCAACGGGATCCCCCTGAGTGAATTCGAGAAGCTCGATAAAGCGACAATCCCAGACCGCATCAAAGGCAGTAAGATGGTGGTGGCGGTCGAGCAGTTTTGGCTCGTGGTCGTCTGGGGATGCAAATGCTGTCTGCTGCTACTATACTCGACCATGACGTGAGCATCCCAATACTCTCACCATCTCTTCTCCTCTAACAACCTGTCCCTGCAGATCCGGCCTCTGGCAACATCGCGTCGTCAAAGTCATCGGCGGAATCTGCGTCTTCAGCTACCTCCTCATCGAGATCCTCTTCTTCGGCGTCTGGTGCCGCCCCTTCTCAGCATACTGGTCCCTCCCAGCCAAAAGTGTGCAATGCTCCGTCTACACAAACCACGTCATCATCACCCTCGCCTTCAACGTCACCACCGACGTGCTCATCATGGCCATCCCCCTCCCGCTGCTTATCCGCGCCAAACTCTCCCTCTCGAAGAAACTCACCCTCTGCGCCATCTTCTCCCTCGGCGCTTTCGTCATCCTCTGCTCCATCCTCTCAAAGTACTACTCCATCTCCCAGCCCTACGGCATCAAGTGGCTGGAATGGTACGTCCGCGAGGCCGCCACCGCCGTCATCGTCTCCAACATCCCGCAGACGTGGACCCTCTTCCGCCGCCTGTTCAACTTGAAGTCCTTCCTGCAGCACTCGTCCTACAATCGCAGTCAGAATAAGTATAACAGTCGCCTTGATAGCTCGACCATCCATCTCTCGCGCTTCAGGGCGGATAAGTCGGGAGTGCGCTCGACCATCGACCGCACCGAGTCGGGGGAGCATATCGTTCGCGAGCAGCCGCTGGAGATCTGGGCGCATCGCCAGTTCCATGTGACGAATGAGGTGGATGACACGCGGAGGAGCGATAGTCCGACTCATAGCAGTGCCAGTCTGGAGTTTGATACCGCTACCACTGTTGGTGAGAGTGGGGCGGTGAAGACGACTGTGACGACTGTGCGGTGATTCCTCCACCTCTTGAGTGTCCAACAGGGGTACGGCTGTAGATCACTATATTGTACAATAGACAATCATAGGCTAATTTAGTGTCCCGATTTGGTTCGCATCCCCATTTAGCGGTCGGCCTATCCTTGCTGGAGATATCTGCCCCAGTGTCGCAGATTTAGCCGGGATATCATCTATATCTATAGAAGCATGCTTGGCGCTCCAACCTCCGATGCGAAAGTGAGACCAGTTCCACCGTCAACTGGGAGATATAAGATGTCTGTCTTGAACGCAGGCGGACGGTGGAATTGCGAGGCCACTGCAGTTCGTCAAATCGAGCGCTGTCTGAATACGCGACCAACCAACTACAGGCGTGTCGACGAATACATTTTGAATAGAACATGGATATGTACAAGTTGAATATTATACAGGTAAATTACTGCCTCCAATCCCGATTCAACACCGGATCCGTACTCTCTACATCCGATCGCCTATCTACATCCTGCCGAATGCTGGTATGCACCGTAATACCCTGCAACTCCACGTCCGAGCTATTCCGGCTCGGCGTAGCCGCCACATTAAGACTCTTGGACGTAGCGGATGCCAGTGTCCCATTTGGATCAGCGATCTGCTGAAACCCATCGTTGTGTGTCCGCGATGTGGGAAAGGGGAGTTTGGACCCGGCGGAGGGCTGCGAGTAGCCCTTAGAGACGCCGCTTTTGACCTTGCCGAGGAAGCCTTGGACGAGGGGTTTGAGGAGCGGGAGGCAGCCGCAGATGATGGCGACGTCGAGTTCGAGACAGGTCCAGATGGATTCTTTGGCGCTGGAGGCTGGGGAAGGTTAGTGGCATTTTCGCAGATGGGAAGAGAGAAACGTACAGGCCAGATCTGTGACGACGAAGTGGCGGAATTCGATCAGGCGCATGAGACTGAAGATGCAGACCCTGGATGGTCAGTTGAGGTTCGGCCAGTAGTGTAGGAGAGACGTACAATCCACCCAGAGAGAAGATTACCGTCAAGGCGATCTTCTGCCGAAAGGTAATCTGCAGTCTCCATACAATGGGAATCGGTAGACAGAGGATGATGACATCCTCGATCAAGGCAATCGATCCCATCGCCTGGAAGAACTGCACCTGCCCCTTCATACAGTGTCCTCTCAGACTCTTATCATAGTAGTATTGCACCGGCGTGCATTGGAACGTGTTGACCAGGACCGCGGTAAGGGCCCATACGGCAATGAAGGCGATCAGACAATTGGAGATGGTGGCATATACACGGACGGAGCCCAGGAGACGCTTGAGGAAGACGATGATGGAAATCTTGACAAAGGCCATGGACGGGGCCCAGAACTTCTGTATCATCCAGGATCCCTTCGCGAGTTAGCTTCCATACCGTTCGTTGTCAATGCTTTGGCAGTGTGGGTCAGGTCAGGACATACAAATTGAATGCGATACCGCTCATCATGGGGCAGGCTTTTGACAGGCACGCCAACACCATTGAAGGCAGCTACATCGGTTAGCCTTTCCCCAATATCTGATCTAGAGGAAGGCACTCACTCTCCACTACAAAAGCCGTAGCGCAGTAGGAGATGATCAACCCAATGCCCATGAGGATGTCTTCAAGGTAAAACCCCGCGGCCGTCAGTCGTCTGGAGTACAGACGCAACAGATACGTGACGGTGGCCACACTGGCGCCGACGATCGGCACAATAGTGAGGACATCTTTCCAGTAGGTATTCTGCCTGTACGCCATCCTGGCGATGGAGGAGAGGACAGAGATCTGAGGAATCAGAAAAGGAGCAATCAGGCCATGATATTGTTTTGCTTCTGCAACGTTACATCGTTTCTTCACTACAGCCGATGAAGAGCCTGAAGAAAGAAGCTTTTCGTCCGTTTCGCCCAGCCTGAGCACAGCCAACAGGAAAGACTTAGCAATATACGAAGCCTCAGGCCGTGGCTGCCAATGCCTGAGGTTTTTGGCCTTCGGCAGTTTATTTCAGCCGGACTTTCCCTTTTGGGGGTTAGCCTGTATCCTGAGGTCACTCCTCCGGCTCTGGTTGGCTGCTAATGTTTCACTGCAGGACGATCATCTCCCGGACTAGGAAAGGCGCCAAAGCGTATGTGCAGCTAAGCAGGGATGGCGGGCTGAGGTAATTTAGGACCGGACCAATCACAGCTTGTCGGCTGAATTCCGAACGCAAGAAATTTGCAGTGGGGATAAGGATGATCAAGACTATTGAGTCTGCTGCATCCTCATTGCTGGGGTCTTACTTTCGGCCCCTTGAGGCCCCGTTCATACACGAAATCCTATGTGAGATCTCGGTCCTGGTTCGGTGAAATGCGTATACGATTCATCAGCCCACCCGGTTCATTTCCACCAGGGGCAACTTGATTTATCTTCCTTCATTCCCCTGCCATTCCACGTGTGGCCTTTTCTCGGCGGGAAGGATCGTCATGGCTTGCAGTCTGAAATTATCCGGGCTCGCCTTCTTGGCTCTGCTGGGCTCGACTGTCGTCGCAGGGAAGGACAATTGCTCGGCTTGCAGCTTGAATCAGTTCAATGCGACGGTTGGAGGACGCGTGCAGCCGCTCAATCCCTTCTCCTTGCCCTGCTTCTCCAACTACAATGGCACCCCGGTGGCTCGCGACGCTGCTGCCTGCGCTGCCATTCAGGCCAACTACGGCGATCCGTGGCTGCGAACCAACTCTCCCAATGGCTACATGAACAACCAGGATGAGATGTGGTCGTCTGATCCCAGCGATCAGTGCCTGCTCGACAGTAGCTATCCCACTGATCCCTTGGCGTTCGTGAATGCCACTTGTCGACAGGGCAACATGCCCTCGTACTACCTCGAGGTGCACAGCGCCAATGACGTGATCGAGGCGTTCCGGTACTCGAACTGCTCCGGCCAGCGGCTGGTCATCAAGAACAGCGGCCATGACTATCTCACTCGCAGCAGTGGCCGTGGCACGCTGTCCCTGTGGACTCGCAACCTGAGGTCCATCCGCTACGACCCTGCTTTTGTTCCCGTTGGCAGCAACAGTGCCGGTCTCAAGTACAACGCCATCACCGTCGGCGCCGGAGTCAACTTCGACGAGGCGTACGCCTTTGCGCAGCAGCACAACGTCACCATCCTGGGCGGCTACTCGCCCACCGTCGGTGTCTCGGGCGGTTGGGTCCTGAACGGCGGCCACTCGGTCCTCAGTCCCGTGTACGGACTCGGGGTCGACCGCGTCCTGGAGTTCAAGGTCGTCACGCCAGACGGCGTCTACCGCACCGCCAACGAGTACCAGAACGCCGATCTCTTCTGGGCCCTCCGCGGCGGCGGCGGCGGAACCTTTGGCGTCGTGCTCGAAAGCACCCACCGCGTCGAGCCTGCCATCCGCTTCGTGGCCGCCAACATCAACTTCCCCAGCACCTCCTCCAACATGCTCCCCTTCATGGACATCGTCGTCAACAACACCCTAAAATGGGCCCAGGAAGGCTGGGGCGGCCACATCACCGGCAACACCCTCGTCAACGTCTCCCCTTTGCTTACTGTCGAGCAAGCCAACGCCTCCCTGGCGCAGGTGATCGCCTACGCCGAGGCCAATGGCGGCTCCGCCTCCATCGAAGAGTACACCTCGTGGTACCCCTTCTACGAGAAGTACGTGACCACCAGCTCCGTCGCCGTCGGCGTCACCCGCTTCCCGGGCAGCCGGCTGATCCCGCGCTCTGTCTTTGAGACGGCCGAGGGCCGCGCCAACCTGATGGACTTCTTCGCGCTTCTCCAGTCGACGGGCCAGACGCCGTACATCCCTGTTGTGGGGCCGGTGCTGTACAACTACACCGAGGGGTCGACGAGTGCGGCTCCTGCATGGCGGCAGGCCGTCTGGGAGCTGGGCTCCGGGACTGCGTGGGCGTGGAACAGCACGTTGTCGACCAGGAAGCAGAAGATCGCGGGGATCCAGAATATGACGGCTGTTATTGAGGGGATCACCCCGGGCAGCGGGGCGTACAGCAACGAGGCGAACCCATTTACGATCAACTGGCGCGAGGCGTGGTGGGGCGATAACTATGACAGGTTGGTGAGTGTGAAGAACAAGTATGATCCTCAGGGGTTGTTGAGTTGCTGGAAGTGCATTGGGTGGGAGGAGTCTGATGCTGCCACCTCGCCTTTTGCTGCGTTTGTCTAGGGACAGCACTTGTATATTTGTCTAATTGTATATACACAGTATTATGTCCGGAGGACAGTAATATAATAACTAGTGACAATGCATCTTAGCATTCTTAACCAGCCTACTGCAGCGCATACATAGATTGAGATACGTAGTGAAAGTCATGACCAACCTCTCCAGCACGTGTTCCAAAAGTCAATACCTGATATATTGTAGTACAGAGTCGTCAGCAGCAGAAGCATCAGGGAACGGGATGTCAGTAAGCACTAATGCACGTTTATATTGCCTTGCAGAATCCGGTCTGGGACCAATAGACCAGCCATTGAAGCAGATGCCCGTTGACTGTGGAACATGGGGCCGTTGGACGGATGTAGTCCAGTACAGTTAATATCACCTTCACATGTCAGTAAGCTGATTAGGTGTACCGTCCTCACTATAGAGAACTTCTCACCGTGATGCTTCCATATCTTGACCTAGCACGAGACTTGGTGGCGTTATCAGGCACGGTTACTAACACAGACTCGACATCTTTAACTAATGCCGAGAGCAGGAATAGTTGGCCGGTGCCTGTACATGTTGCACCAATATCACAGCAGTGTAACAGGCACATGGTGCAATCCGTGGCCCTGAAGAGTCCTTCCTCGGTGTCTCGCCATCTCGGTGATTTGCGCTAGTTGAGAAGGATATAAAGGGCTTTCGTCGGCCCTGTCAATGCAGTACTCAAAAGTTCACCTCCCTGAGAAAGTCCTGTATTGCTCCTTGCCTATCATAATGGCCCGCTTTCTTGCCGTAGCAGCATGTCTGTCTGTGATTGCCTCGGCCCATCCACTGTCGGCCAGGCTGTATCCTACAGTCCTACGCAGAGACACCACGGCAGCCAGCGTTGAGCCTGCATCGGCCATTTCCCTCTACTATCAGGATGTCAACTCCAGCTCCATTGGGGCTCTCGTCCAAGCCGACTTGCATCTCCCCTCCATCGTCCTCGAAGACGTCAATGACGTGTCAAGCGTGACCTGCTCCGCTGAAAGCGTGACGGTGAAGTTCAATTCGACCACCACCTTCAACCAAGCATACACTTCCTGGCCTCGCTCAGACCTCCTCCTCGTCACCAACCACCTGGGCAACTGCGACGCGGAAGCCGAGCGCGGAATCTACCACGCAGCCTCTCTCCTCTTCGACGCCTCCACTCTAACCATCACCGCCTCCACCAGCAAAACCAACCTCCAGGAGCAAGCCAAAACCGTCACCATCGCCTTCGGGCACCCCGTCCCATCCAAACACAAGCGCGAGCTCGCCGCCAGCGTCGACCTCGCCTGGTCAGGCGACCTCATCCGCACCACCGGGCTAACCATCCACGCCAACGAAGCCACCCTCGACGCTGCCGTAACCATCGACGGGGTCATCGCATACAACATCGAGACCAAAACCGCCACAACCCTCGGCCTCGACATCGCCGTCGCGCTCGACTCGACGCTCAGCCTCTCCGTCTCGGCCGCAGGGTCGTTCCTGCGCAACGTCTACACCTACAAATGGAGCCCCATCGAGGGCGCGGGCTTCTCCATCCCCGGGATCCTGACCGTGGGGCCGGTGCTTGATCTCAACGTCGGGGTCGACATGGGGATGAACGGGACGGCAGATGTCAGCAGCAACATGACCATGGCGACGAACGGGCTGTTCCATCTCGATCTGCTCAATATGACGGATAGTTCGGCGAGTGGTGTCGCGCCGACAGCGACGACCACGTCGAGAATGGACACCGCGGCGGATATGCAGCTGGATCCGTTCGTTGGGGTGGAGGTGGGCGTGACTGTGAATCTGTTCGAGGGGCTGCTTGATTTGTCGTCTGGGTTGGCGGCCCGCGCCACGGTGGTGAATGTGTTTAATGTTGATGCGGATATGGTGGTTGGTGCGGATGGGAATGTCACGCTGGTTCCTCCGGCGGATGGCAGCGGGGGCTGCCAGAATGGGTATTGGTTTACGAGCGACTTTTGGTTTAATGTCACGGCGAAGATGACGGCGCTGTTTACGGCGGATCTGTATCATTTTGATATGCCTATGATTCAGACCGAGTGTATTGCCTTTTAGCCTCAATAGCCAATGTTAGTAGAGGCAATCAGAGTCAGGATGTCTAAGGTTGCAACTATTTCCCTCCTGTATGCTCTGCATCCTGGACCATCTAATCCCCGTTTAGAACTTACGCCCTCGACTCAATCTCCCCGCCGTCCCCATGCAGCTAGGCACAGGCATGGCAATACACTACACCACAAACAGCCAAAAGGCAATCATATCCGTCCCTGTTAACTACATTTGTTCGTACGGCTGACAAGATGAGTACGAGGATGGCCTTGAGCGGCCCAATCGCTGCCTCCGTCTATCAATCCAGATATCATTCTTCATCATGGAGATAACCCCTTCTAGACATACTCCCTTGATGCTCAGACAATCGATCAGGATCATGGCTATTTTCATGGTGAGATCTAAGTATTGCTCATACCTTCCGATCACAGGTACTTTTCTCAGCCATGTTGGTATGCTCAATCGATAGTGAACATATCCAATAGTCACGCAAGGCAAGAACTTCGGATGGGAAGTGGGCTTAGGAGAACCTGATATCAGATGGTCGAGCTGACATTGGTTAGAAAGAACAATATTTCTCAGACTATAATTGAATAGCTTCATAAAAATGTAACGGGCAGGGTTCAAACGTCAGTAGTGGGAAGGATGGTTGATGATTCCCTATCACGATCCTTCCCAAGGCTTCGAATGGTCGTCAAGTAGAAGCTGATCCCCATGGTATCACAATTAAAGCATGTCTGAACCCCATATTTATTATAACCATTCCACATTTTTGCTCGAAGATCAATACACCGGAGAATGAAGAGCTCGCCTTGTTATAGCAGGACACACTTATAGTTCAAAACGTCGGCAATCAGTCTGGATACCCAAGAGATCTCAGATATCATTCTTGTAGACGGAATGAACATAAAGAGGTCAGACCAAATGCAGGTACTATTGTTTAGTCTACTGTAGGTCAGTTCTAATATTTGGATGTGTCAGATGCAGTGGACGTATTAGCCATTGTTATCACCTGTGGATAATGATATATATATCAGCTTAGGAAGACTAGATTGGGAGGTAGTCCTGCTATCTAGGTGGCACCTATTTCATGTTGCTCAGCAAGTGCAAGTGATGAGTAAGAACTGCCATCTTCAACCCACGTGAGCTGATTATTCCCATCATAATACTCAGTCCATACTCCGTATTAGCAATGGGGAGATGTGGCGGTGGCCAATGAGCATGTGGCACAGGAGTCAGGTGATATTGTGGTCAGGTGCAATCACATGATCAAGAAAAGCAAGGAAATTCCATGGTTAGATGATGACGTAATCTTGGCATTCCTGGACATGCCAAGCCCTAACCCTAATACCATTCTTCTTCCGGATGGGTTGAGTGGATCTTCCCAAACAGGACAGATAGACGAATGCAGATTCTTCTGGATGATACCCCAGGGATTAGCATTTAGCATTATATTATCAGTCAAGCGATATGCTATCCCAGTGTTTCCTTGACTCAAGTATCTAGTAGATGGATATCCGTCATAGACTAAACGGATCAACAGCCACAAAGTCATTTTTCCCTTGGTGAGAGTGCCTGAAAGCTTGGTGGCCGCAGCTGGGCGAACCAGCATTAGTTACCAACGCCACTGACGATTCTCGGCTCAGCCGGTTTGTTTCCTCTGTCTGTTTAGTTTCACACTTGTAGTCTTTGCCGATGCCGATCCGTCTCGGTCGGCGTCATTTCTCTGTTGTGTTGGCTTGTAGATAACTTGTTGGGCAGAGTGAATAGCCTTTGACGACGCACTGTGAATACATCATTTTAATAGTTGTCCTCCATATGATACTCCAGATCCTCCAGATCCTCCGCAGTACACTTATGCATCTGGCTCCCCGGTGAACTGAAGAGGAATGGCAACCCCTCATTCTCCAGGTGGACTGACTGTCTAGCTGGGGATTCCGTCCTCTTCCGCGCGCAGTCCGACTAGTGAGTACGGAGTAGAATTTGCCGGGATTCTGGTGTCTTAGTTTCACTATATGCGCGGATACCCGGAATCAGTAATGATGGATGCTATGCCTGACAATCATTACTACATGTCGTCTCCGGCCGAACACAGAAACTTTCTGTATAATGATTGGCATACATCATCCTGTCATTGCGTCCGTCTCATTTGACGAGCCATTCTCGTCCATCGTGGCGTTGCCGTGGCATTTCTGACTAAGACCCTGAACCAGTGGCGTCTGACAGAATCTTCTATGAACAATGCTGGTCTCGTCCACCCGATGACGAACCAAATCTCCCAATGGGCCGTGGATCCCGAAGTTCTGCCTGTCCTGTTCTCTGACTGGCCATATACCTGCATCTTCTTCCAATCATAATCACGGATCATCCAGACCCGATGCTGACGGCTTCCGTGCTATCCCCATGCCGACTATCGTCATCTCCAGCGGGATGCCTGTCCTCCCCACACTCTGTCTCCTCGTTCCTGGTTCCCTGGATCTCTCCTCTGATTTTTCTTCGTCCAGGCAGGATTGACAAATATAAATAAGCCCATGTCTCTCTCGCCGTTGATCGTCGTTTCCTCTTTTTCTTCCTCGTCCGGGTTTTATCTCCCCCCTTTCCTCTATCATTCCCCCTAATGGTCATTAGTTTAAAATATCTCCCCTATGGTCATTAGCTTATAATATCTCCCCTTACAAAGGAATAGACATGGGTATCGAGACAGAAACCCACCATGGGGAATCCATCACCCCCGCCCCGCAGCCTCAATACTCCAGCTCCGACTCGGTGGCTGCTGAGAAGCCCCTCGATCTCGGAGTCAACACCCCCATCCCCCGCCTGACCCTGCGGTCCGCCATCATGGGGCTGTTCGTCTCCATGGGCGGTCTGTTGTTCGGATACGACACTGGTCAGATCTCCGGTTTTCAGGAGATGAGCAACTACCTGCACCGGTATGGTGAATACAGCAACGGCAAGTACAGCTTCAGCCACGTTCGCTCCGGTCTCATCGTCGCTCTGCTGTCCGTCGGTACCCTGATCGGTGCGCTGGTCGCCGCTCCCATCGCCGATCGGCTTGGCCGCAAGTGGTCCATCACCCTGTGGAACATCATCCTCATCATCGGTATCGTTGTCCAAATCACCTCTCCCGCCGGTCACTGGTGGCAGATGGTCGTCGGCCGTTGGGTCACCGGTCTGGGTGTCGGTGGCTGCTCGCTGCTTGTCCCCATGTACCAGGGTGAGAGTGCTCCGCGTCACGTCCGTGGTGCCATGATCAGCTGCTACCAGCTGTTCGTGACGCTGGGTATCTTCGTGGCCTATCTGATCAACCTGGGAACCGAGAGCATGGACGGCACCGCCCAGTGGCGCATCACCCTGGGCCTGACCATCGTTTTCGCCTTGATCTTGGGCGGCGGCATGGCCTTCTTCCCCGAATCCCCTCGCTTCGAGTTCCGTCACGGCAAAATCGACAGCGCCCGGCGCACCATGGCCAAGCTGTACGGTGTGCCCGAGAACCACCGCGTCATTGTCCAGGAACTCTACGAGATCCAGAAGCAGCTCGACGCCGAGTCGGGCGTGCAGGTGTGGCACGAGTTCTTGACCGGGCCGCGCATGCTCTACCGTGTCGCTCTGGGTATGCTCCTGCAATGCCTGCAGCAGCTTACCGGCGCCAACTACTTCTTCTACTACGGAACCACCATCTTCCAAGGCGCTGGTCTCTCTAACAGCTTCGTCACCTCCGTCATCCTCGGCGCCGTCAACTTCGTCACCACCTTTGGCGGTCTGTACGTGGTGGAGAACTTTGGTCGCCGCAAGTCCCTCATCTTCGGCGCCGGCTTCATGTTCCTCATGTTCATGATCTTCGCCTCCATCGGCCACTTTATGCTGGATGTCAACGAGCCCACAAATACCCCCACCGTCGGCAAGGGCATGATCGTCCTCGCCTGCTTCTTCATTGCGTATGTCCCTCCCCTTTCTTTTTAACTTTCTCATGCTAACCAACTGACAGTGCATTCGCAATGACCTGGGGTCCCATGGTCTGGGCCATCGTCGCCGAGCTCTTCCCCTCCAAGTACCGCGCAAAGGGCATGGCCCTCGCCACCGCCTCCAACTGGCTCTGGAACTTCCTGCTCAGCTTCTTCACCCCCTTCATCACCGGCGCCATCGACTTTGCCTACGGCTATGTCTTCGCGGGCTGTCTCCTCGTCGCCGCTTTCGTCGTCTACTTCTGCGTCATCGAGGGCAAGGGCCGCACGCTCGAGGAGATCGACTGGATGTACGTGAACCATGTGGCGCCGTGGAAGAGCAGCAAGTTTGAGATTCCGGCGACTGAGTGGGAGGAGGGACCTGGTGCGCAGTTCCGCAAGGAGGAGCAGGCCTTCCATGCGGAGATTGCGTAGTTTGCGATTTATGATCCATTGCTTGGAGTTGGTTGGTTAGGATTAGGTATATACTACACTTGCATATAGATTTCTTGTTGGATATGATACGATACCATGATGAATATATTATAGAGTCTTGTTCTCTCATGTTTGTGATGCTGTAAGCACATATTAAGTATAGTGCTATGCCCACATGGACTGCTATGAATGGAGTCTGCATTAGATACTTATGTTAGTTAATGCAGCTATACAAGAGCATCATCACTTATGATCACAACCCAAGGAACCTAATAGCACTAATGTCCTGGACATCAGAACAGGTTTATAAGTGACACCTTGTATAACCCTGGAATACAGTGACAGTAGCACATGCTTATTCCAAGGCCCTGAATTATTAGTCCATGTCTTACACCTGATATCACTGTCATCAGTCCTCCGCATTGGTTTAACCATGCCTTGGCACTTTCCGCTCGTGGCAAGATTCTATCCATCCTCCCAGTCGATGAGCACGTTCAAGTAATAGCAAGTGTGGCAGGGGCCCAGAGCCGATGTATTCATTATCCATTGGAGAACAGAATTGACGGAGGGCGACGCCCAGTCAGTAGCCGTATGCAAAGTGATTGGTGTCGATCCAAAATACGATTCCAAGCAGGTTCGACAACTTCCGAGCAACACAAGCGCAAAATCCAGTGTCTCAGTGAGACAGTTTTCGCTCGAAGCGATCTTTGACTGCCATCTCGCACTCAGGCTGGACTGACGATGAAGTAACGATTGCCTAAAGGAGTAATGATCGGGCAAAGTCCGTGCCCAAATACATTTCTCCTCTCTTCGACCCCAACCTGAGCCTTTCCATCCAATAAAAGGACTATGACACGTCACTAAAGCATGGACGCAATTTGCCTCGAGCGCCGCAGGACGGGCTGCCTCGTATTCCCCTCGCTCGACGATTTAGTGTCGCGGCATCCATCCAACCACATCTCGGGGTTGGATACGAGTCATGTAGCTACACCATGCCCGGACTTGGTCACTCGTATCGGATGAGGCTGATCTATTCCTGGCTGCTCTCCACGTCTTTAAGGTTCGAGGCGTTCAGGCACCGTGCTATAAAGGCGGGCTCTCGACCTCTGTCAGCCAAGTATTCGCTCAGTCGCTATCTTCATCACTCGTTGATCGGTTAATATCTCAATCTTTACAATGTACAAGCTTCTCACTGCTTCTCTTCTGGCCACTGCTGCCCTCGCGGCAGGCCACAACGGCCTCCTTGCCCGTCAGGTTTCCAGCTGTGAATCCCACACCGGCTTCAAGACCTGCAAGTCTGCCTGCATTCCCGTCAGCTACAGCTGCTGCCCTATTGGCGAGGGCGGCTGCGAGCCAGGCACCTACTGCACCGACGATGGCTGCTGCCCCATCGGGGAGATCTGCTCTGGACCTGGTGGAACCTTGACTGGAACCTTGACCGACACCATCACCAACACCTTGACAAACACTATTACCAACACTCTGACAAACACCCACACCGAGACCGCGACCGCGACGCCTACGTCCACTGATGAGACCACGTCCACCTCTACCTCTACCCCCTCCTCTACTACTCCTTCAACCTCGACCTCTCGCCCTGTCATCCCAACTCAGCCCTCCCTCACCTCTCCCAGCTCTACTCCAAGCGGCACCCCTTCGCCCTCTGGCCCCGGAGGTGAGGGCTCCTCTACCGCCAGCCCTTCCTTGCCTCTGTTCACCGGCGGCGCGTCGCACCTGAACGCCGGCCTCGGTGCTGTGGCCGGTCTGATTGCGGGAGCTGCTCTCCTGTAATCCTCAAGCGTGCGCCTTAACGAAGCAGTCCCAGTAGCAGGTGTGCAGAATTGGAGTATTGTCTTTTGATGTGTACTGGTTACTGCAACTATTTATAGTCTAATCCTAATTGAATGCGATGCTATTCATCGTCGTTTGCTCTGTTAAATGAACACGATATAATGCATTGAAAGTCAGTGCATGAAAGGGTAATAGAGTCTAGACATTCATACCATTTAATTCCAATCTAGAGGTTTATTATATACTCACTTCGATGGCTAACCCCCATACAATTGACGCTATCTCGATAGGCACCAATCTGGCAGCGCATCTGGTAGGTTCCTTCATCGTTGTATGCACGATTACAATTCCTTGGAATGATATGTGCAAGTTACTAGGATAGATGGGAGAGCAATAGTCATCCGAAGGCCAGAGCTGGTAGAGAACAGTGCTATGCAGATATCGAAATAAGAGCTAGAGAGAAAAGGCCGTATTGAGCAAGACATGCCTTCAAGCTATAGCAAAAGCTTCTCTGCAATAAGGACAACCTGAATTTCTTCGATCCGTTGCCAGGCAAGAGCATGACAGCGGATACCCATCTCATCAAGTTCACATTGACCATCCCAATCCATCCACCATATCAGGCCGTGCAGTGGATGAGATGACGGAGGCACTACTTCTCTCCAGCACCAGCCGAATACTCCGGATCCAGTCCATCACTTCGACACTCAGCACTGGCGCAAATAGATGGGGAGGGTACTCACTTCGCACGACGATCCCAGAGCCTACTCAAGTCCCCGACAGGCAAACGGACAGGGAACCCCACCGAGTCAAACAGCTGCGCCACGAGGAGATAAAAACCGAGCATGCTCGCCACGAACAGTGACGCACCGGCTCCCTGTACATTACCATTGTCATTAAGGCGTTGCACACACTGGGAGAAAGGGGAGACATACCACAATCAACCGATTACCAACGAGGACATCCGCCACAGCCAGACGCCAGTACCCCGCGGAGAGAAAGACGAAGACAAGAGTGAGAGTTGCGAATATGGCGACGTAGACCGCGTTGGTGCGGGTAGCGCAGACCAGGAAGATGAGCATGAGAACGCCCATCCAGATGAAGAGGAAGGCTGTTTCTTTAGAATATATTCCGTTGGACGTTGGACGGGGTGGTACGAACCGTATGTATTCATGAAGTCGGGACTATGGAGGCCCGCTACTGTGTCTGTAGCGGAGGTCGAGTAGGGGGCTGTAGCAGCACGTGTTAGCAGAGTAGGTATTGATAGGAGACTGGACAAACCTGCGGCGTTGAACGCGGGAGTCATGGTGCAGCCGAATGCAAACCAGAATGCTCCTGTTATTCTCAGTTACCTGCCCCGTCTCTTCAAGATGCCCAACGAACCAATTGTGCCGAAGACAACGCATGGAAAGGTGTTGCCGAGGATAAACTCCAGGATACTAGTCAAGACGAGCAGGCCGCCTCCGAGAAAGATAATCGGACCACTAGACGTAAATATCAGCATTGTATCCTGTCAACCTTCGGACATTATCACTTACGTGAACGCAATACCTGCTCCGGTAGCACCTCTCCATCCCATAAGGCAACACGACAAAGGCGTGGTGGTAATAACGAATCCGCCAAGAGCTCTGATCAGTCAGTTCAATGTATACTTTCGTCAAGCGAGGGTAATTACAAAGGGGTAGGATTGCCCATCTGCTTCGAGAGCATTCCCTGCTGCTGGGTCAGGGGGCTGAGGTACAGCTTTTCGAACTGCTCGGCGGATAGGGTGACGGATGTAGGAATTGTCGTTAGAGAAGGCATGGCTTTCTCCTCTTGAGGTGAAGGTTTCGTCGTATGGTTCTTAAGCCCCATCTCAGTGTCCATCGTGTCTGGCACTTGTCTAGGATTTAAGGTATGCGGCAAATGAGATAGAAGTTGGGGAAACTGGGGATATATCAAAACCTGGGGTAAGAACGAACTGGCTCCTTATATCAGCCTCCTGATCGAAGCTTGCAATAGAGTCTTCCCATAATAGCCCCTATCCCGGTCGAGCGGAGTACTATGATTAGCACGAATATAATTTCCTTTTTGGGTAGGGTCCGGGGAACCGGAGAAGGAAAGGAAGTCTAGCCATCCTTTCATGGATGTGGCTGTAGCCGGGGTCTTGATTCGTAGATCAATATGCATTGATCTCTAGTCCGAGAGAAACCCACCTTTGTGATAGTGGTCACGGAGGAGAAACCCTGGATACGGGATATACCTGTGCCTGGAGCTAAGGATTGTCGGAATTCGAGAGTCAGGGAGTACTGTCGTACTGACGGTAGTCCACTCAATTATCGAAGACATATACGCTTGATTGGACTACTACGGTCTTCGGTTTCTTGCATGCATAGTGAGGCATAGGTTCTTGTTTGACCTGTTTACACTAACGAGTCGTATAGACAAGACTAATGAAACCAAGATGCGAGATACATCATAAATAGGATTCACCACAATTTAATACCCTGCTACGACTAAGCACCCTGGATACGAATGTGGACCGTCTTGACCTGCGTGTAGTTGTCAAGAGCGTACGATCCCAGCTCCCGGCCCAAACCGGATTCCTTGAAGCCGCCGAATGGCATCTGGGCACTGAAGGTGTTGTAGTTGTTAATCCACACAGTTCTGTAACAGTTAGCAACATACTAAACGTGCTGAATGCCGGAACATACCCAGCTCTGATAGCATTGGATACCCGGATGGCTGTATTGAGATTGGTTGTGTGGACGGCCGCCGCCAGCCCTACAATACAGTCAGTATGGAACGGTAGAGATGAGAGGTAGGCCCACCGTAGTTCGTATTGTTAGCGATCTCAATAGCCTCCTCCTCGGAGCTAAATTTCTGCACTGTGCAAACAGGCCCGAAGATCTCCTCTTTGACGATCTTCATATCCTCATGCACATCCGCGAAAATGGTAGGCTGGATGTAGTACCCCTTTTCGCCGTGGCGCGCTCCGCCAGTAACAACCGTGGCGCCTGCCTTCTTGCCCTCGTCGATGTATCCCATGATACGGTCATATTGGACCTGAGAGACCTGGGGACCCTGGAACGTCTCCGGGTGGAACGGGTCTCCGACCTTGTTCTCATCCGCGCGCTGCTTGAAGACCGCCAGGAATTTCTCGTAGATGGATTCATGCACGAGGACACGCGAGCCGGCAGCGCAGCATTGCCCGTGGTTGAAGTAGATACCTAGATTCACGTACTTGATCGCGTCGTCCAGATCGGCGTCGGGGAAGACAATGTTGGGAGACTTGCCGCCCAGCTCGAGCGTGACTTTCTTCAAGTTGCTCTTCGCTGCGACCTGCAGAATCTGGCGGCCAACTAGCGTGGAGCCGGTAAATGCCACCTTGTCAATATCCATATGGGCCGCGATGGCAGCGCCAGCGACGCGTCCGAATCCCGAGATGATGTTGATGACACCCGGTGGAAAGCCGGCCTCCTTGACCAGTTTAGCGACATACAAAGCTGAAAGCGGCGTTTGCTCAGCAGTTTTGAGAACGACTGTGTTGCCGGTGGAAATGGCAGGCCCGATCTTCCACGCCCACATGAGCAGCGGGAAATTCCATGGGATGATCTGGCCACAGACGCCAACAGGCTCGTGGCGGGTGTACGTCAAACTGCCGGGGTTGGTATCGATCGTTTGGCCGACGATCTTATCGGCCCAACCACCATAGTACCGGATGCAGTTTGCAGAGAGAGTAACGTCTCCCTTGGCGATGTGGAAGGCCTTGCCGTTGTCGAGGGCCTCGATGGCAGCGATAGTATCCATGTCGCGTTCGAGAAGGTCGGCAAGGCGAGTTAGGAGACGGCCGCGCTCTGAGGGGATGACGTCCTTCCATGCGCCTTTGAAGGCTTTGCGGGCGGCTTCGACGGCAATGTCGACATCTTTTTCGGTGGCCTCGTGGACGGCAACGATGGGCTTTTCGTCGTGGGGGTTGATGGTTTCGAAGGTTTTGCCTTCTACACCGGGGACGAATTCATTGTTAATGAACCTTTTGGGTGTCAGCGAGGAAGAATGGACTATTCTTGGGTACATACAGCCCTAGTGGTTGCTCATATGTAACAGTAGGAGTGACGATGGTCTGGAAGAGAGCCATGTTGAGGGCAATCTGAGATGGTGAAATTTGCAAGGAGCGGGGTGAAGTGTGAGCTTGTAAGAGACACGAGGGTCAGAAAGAGGGTCAGCTTGTGCTGCCTTGCTTACTCTTATAGCAGAGTCCCCCCGCTGCATATGCACCGGGCCAAGGGCGAATAGCAAGGATGGTGACAAATACAAAGTCAAACAGTAGGATCCATGACGTCGCGTCTCCGCACTCCACATTCTTCATTATTCCTAACGCTAGGACTGTCCTGGGGTTCCGCATCTGTCCTGCTTGAGATCCACAAGTGGACTGCCATGAGACGAACCTCCGCAGCCCTTCTAGGTTTCTAGGACTGCTTGAAGAGGCAATTCTTCCATGGACTAGGAGTTCGGACAGCGGGAACTTCGGGTTACACAAAACATGCCGGCGCATTGGTATTATCTCATATGCAACAGTTCAATTGGCCATGACTGTCGGTGTGTAACAGACTACCCCCGCATCTCGAAGAAGTCTGTCCCAGAGACTCGAAGTCAGCCACGCAAGTCCGAGAATCCGCAACATCAAGACTAGATAACTGGTGGATCCTGTTGGAACTTAATCTATTGTAGCTCAGATCGGAGCCGCTCTCGGATCCGCATACGCTTGGCAGCGGATCAGCACGGCGGGGTATCACAGGGAGGATTCGGGTGATGCTGTGCCGGTGCTGGTTATTCTATCTGACCTTTTCCTTCGGGAAGGAATATACTGGTTACAAGCAGAATGAATCCGACAATTATGACCAGGCCCCTCATGACAGGTTTTGTATTGTCAGTTATAAGAAAATGCAATATATTCCCCATAGGAAGCAATTATCAGCCATGGGTGATGAGCAACAACAGCACCGTTTCAGTTGACATAATTCAATATGAGGTTACCAAAGTAGTGTCTAATTGATTATATAGGCCCCAAAAAAGTCCAAACTACAGTCCATTGAGTGTATCACGCAGAGGAAAGATACATTCAGAATCAATAGCTGGCTTGAATTGACTAAAGATAATACCACAACATATGAAGCACTTTCATTCCATACATGTCTGACATTCCTCATATGCTCAAACAGAACACATACTATAGCAACCTAAGATAGGAAATTCATTCAGGCATCTCAAGGACATAGCGACCAGCAATCTTGCCTTGTTCTATTAAACAGTTAGCTAGATCCACCACAGGATTGAAAGGACATACCCATGAGCTCATAGATCTTAGGCAGATCCTCAAGAGGAGCAGTTTTGAAAGGAGCTTTGATCAAGCCTCGAGCAAAGAAATCGATAGCCTCCACCCCATCCTGTCTGTTACCGACATAGCTGCCCTTGATATTGATCATGCGCACGACAGTGTTGAGGACCGGTGCCCTCAGGAAGGCGTTCGCAGGCAACCCAATGGCAACGACAGTACCGCGTGAGCGAACATACTCAGTAGCCTGCTGGAAGGGCTTCTCCGAAACAGCCAGGAGGATCACAGCATGGGCGCCCAGCCCATCCGGCGTGGCTGCCTTGACATCAGCGACCAGATCACTGGACTTGGTGAAATCAACGTATGCCTGTCGCGGTTAGCATTCTCATTTGTATTCGGTGGGTTGTAACAAACCTCGGCGCCAAGCTGCTCGCACATCACCCTCTTCTCATCCCCGCCATCAATAGCGATAACCCGCAACCCCATGGCTCGCGCATACTGCTGCGCCAGGGATCCCAGCCCACCACCCGCACCGACAATAGCAACCGTCTGCCCGGGCCGAGCTCCGGACTCCTTCAACCCCTTGTACACCGTGATACCCGCACACAGCACCGGCGCCACCTCGTCCAGCGGCACATTCTTAGGGATCTTGGACGCATGCGTCGCCTTGCCAATGGTATACTGCTGGAAGGTCCCGTCGACGGTATACCCCGACAGCGAGGCCTGCTGGCAAAGCGGTTCATCTGCCTGCTTGCAGAATTCACATGCGAGACAAGACCCGTTCAACCACTTGATGCCGGCGTGGTCGCCGATCTCGAATTCAGTGACGAGGTCACCCTTGGCTACCACGATTCCTGCACCTTCGTGACCGCCGACAAGAGGCATCTTGACTGGGAGGGGCCAGTCGCCCTTCATGGCGTGGAGGTCGGTGTGGCAGACGCCTGAGTAGCGGATCTTGACAAGGATTTCGTCGGGGCCGGGCTTGGGGACAGGGATTTGCTTGAGGACCAGGGGGCCGCCGACTTTCTCGGCCACTTGGGCCCATTGCATGGAGGGGATAGAGAACTTAGTCATGGTTGTTGTTGGTGGGGCGAAGCTGTGAAGAAATTGAAATTGTGTGTAAGTAAAGCGATGTGATTGATGATTGATGAGATGGATCTGATGGACTCGAGTACCTTGATGGTACTTATAGTTCTTTAACTACTATAAGATGGAGATAAAGTGTTCCCTTGCTCCACTGGGGTCAGTTCTTGCATTACAGACGGGGATACGGAATGCGATTGAGAGGGGAACGAGGATACGCTGTCCAGTGGAGTCTCGATATGGCACTGCGAGATTGATGATTGGTGAGTATCTCCCATTGCCGATATGTAGCCAATACAATTTGCTTACTGTTGAGTGGCAGCGTTTCTCCGAATGTGCTCCATTTCCCCAGGATCCGGGCAAATTATGGTTTATCATTAATCAATAATATAAGAATTAAATCTAGTCCGTCGTCCCCACGGGGAATCATACCACACTTTCTAGACCTCTCAAATTTCAGGCGCATAATACGCTTCAGGCAATAATTCCTGATCTACTTCCTTGTGTCCGAGGATCTACAATCTAGAAAATAATACAGTAGGAGCTAGAGCTCATCCAGGGCTCATGCTAAGAGCCAGCTATGCCGGGGGATATCCGACAATAGTACACACGCCAACCAATCATAGCCAGGCTATTCTGGGGCCCTCGTGGCGTCAGAGTACGGAGTACGCAGTACAATAGATTCAATTCATCATTCAAAGTATGCGTTTAGCTTAATCAACAACAAAGAAATAGAGTTCCATATGTCCGAGCCATAGCAATGCCTCTTTTCTGGTTCACTAAACGCACCCGGACGGCTGAAAATCGAGCTTAAAGCTAATAAATAATATGGCGGATAACTGCCGAGTGACAGCGGCTTGCGGGGAAGGCCACATGCGGTTCCGCACAAACTCTAAGTTCGAGGCCCAGACGTGATCGACCAGAGCCGTTGTCTCGAGAATGAAGCCTTAGAGGGCGACATTGTCGATCGATCTAGTCATTCTGATTGGTAAAGCCATCCACATGGTTCCAGGCATCCTGTCCCGAGTTCGGCATATCCTAATACATCTGAAAGTGCGGAGCCGCTCCGGGAGGGGTATGGCTTGCCAATCTTGACATATGTCTTCCTTTGCGGAGCCGCTCATAGAGCTAGGTCCTCCGTATTCATGAAAAATTCATTGGCTACTTGAAATTTGGGACTCGATTAACATACCCTTGGCACAGAGAACTCTATCCCTATCTGTCGAATTGAAGAGAATGTTGTCTAACTTCCTGATTGGTGATGTAAATCAACCCTGATTGCGCAAACTGAAGCAACTAGATCCTCTATGTCTCAGTCGCCCGAACTCGCAGCCAAGAATCAATAGCTGGGGTTCGCATACACAGATCTGTCGGCGGAGCCGCTCAGTAGCTATGGACGCAGATTGCAGCCACATAATCCCTTTGAAATGTTGTTTTGGCTGTGCTGCTCTATCATAATTCCTCGGTACGCATATTTAACATCGACACTAACATCCATTACGAGACTTCATGTCTCTGTTATTGCTACTGCAATAAGACACTGCACAAAACGCAATGGCCACATCATTTCATACTCAAAGTCCAAATGGCACGAGAGCACCAATGGCAGACACAACCGAAGCCTCAAGACCACGAAGAAAGAAGGCTAGAAGAGCCTGTTCTGCTTGCCAGAAATCGCATCAGACATGTGGTAAGTGAAATTGCAGGGGACCATAGTCTTAAGCAATAACTGATCCGATCCACAGGCAACGAGCGACCATGTCAATCCTGCGTAAAGCGCGGCTGTGCAGACTCCTGTCGCGATGGCGAGCGCAAGAAGCCAAAGTACCTCAAGGAGGGCTCGTATAGAGTCTTCACCATACAGTACAACGTACCCTGTCATCACAACAGTGCATCCACCCCATTGAATCGCACACTCGCATGCAGAGACACCGGGGTTCAGTCAAGGACACCGAGTCCAAGTTCAAGTCAGACGGTACATCCGGAGGATCCCTTCATCGGCCTGGAATTGAATGAGGCACAAATTGAACTGGCGGATTCCTTTCTCTTGGACTCTCCCCGGAGTGATACGATAGACCAAGCACCACAGACGGATACTTTGCTTGCGTTTACAATAGGAAGTGGGTGGTCGAGTACTTTTCTCCAGTCAGAGTATGAGGATTCTGTATAGCATAGCCATGGATTTAGCCAGCGTTAATACCTTATGATGATTTTACAGCTACACATTTCTTCCAGCCCGGTTTTAAATTACCCCTGGGCAGTAGGCTCGTCCTCCAGGATGGCATTGTCTCCCTCAAGGAAGCATTTACATGGCATAATATAAGAGGCTATCCTTCTCTGCCAGTACTATCTCCTCCATTCCAGAGCAGCTTGGAGACCACAGACCCTCGCAGAATTCAGGACAGCTCCGTACGTCAGCTGTCGCGCCGCTTTCAGGGCAACTACAACCGGCATTCTGACCGTTGAAATGAGTAGAAACTCGCCATTGAGAGCGGAATACAACGAGCATGTCTGATATACTCTATCTCCGACGTAGGTTGTTGGTTCCAGGTGCATTCGAAGGATTCCATCTGGCGGGTTGGGTCATGCCCATTCGGTCTTCATTGAGGAGGTTAGGTAAAAATTCTCAATGAGGGTTCGTACACATCCTAGATGGTATATTGGTAGATTGGTACGATTTCAATGGTCCAAATCTGTCAGAGGTACAGCGGACTCCGAAATATACGGTCCAACGATGCAACACCGCTTTTGTATGTAGAAACATTATTTAGTAACTCTGCTGCGCTGTACTTAACAATAGCAATTATTTAATGCGATTATTGAAGCTTTTCCAAAGCTTGAAACTAGGCCATTGTTCGCGACAGCCTGAAATGGTTGCTTACAAATTAACATTATAAATGGTGAGATTACCAATCCTCATCGCACGTCTTTTGATGCCGATCAAACCCTATAAAAGGGCTAGCGATCATTGATTCAGCTCTACTCAAGAAGAATTCAGCTACACATAAAGCCTGCATTTCCCTCTCTCCATCCTTCAAAGCAGTCCTACCTCCACCCAGTTTCTTTCTCCCAGAGCCCACATGGCAGACTCAAAGAATATCCCACCACAACCCATAGACATGTCCGTTCCCATCCGGCGGATCATCACCGCGCACGACCCCAAAGGCAAAGCCTACTTCGCCTCAGACGAGCTCCTCCACCCCTACGATCCAACCACCGCTCCACGCTTCGAAGCCCCAGGCCCCGACTCAGGCTTCGGGGTGGTCCAAATCCACCGATCCCGCGGCTTCCCCGTCGACAACACGCGCCCAATCAAGGATCCGCACCGGACTCTTGTCCCTCTGGCCGATACAAAGGGTCCCTCGTGCAGGATCATTGATCTGCCTCCTGCGGAAGCGGGGTGGATGCATCGTACGCTGTCCTTGGATTATGTGGTTGTGCTTTCTGGGACGGTTGGGTTCCGGACGGATGGCGGGGAGGAGAAGGTGCTGAGGGAGCATGATGTGATTGTTGTACGGGGGGTGAATCATGAGTGGATTAACCGGGGTAATACGGTAGCGAGGCTATTTGCCGTTGTGGTGCCGAGCAAGGAGATTGTCACTGAGGACGGGGTGAGGTTGGAGAAGACGCCGGCTGGGGAGATCTATGATCCCCCAGAGGAGGAGGATTGAGCGCGTCATTGAGATTCAAGCATGTGTGGGCGTCGAGAGAAACATAGAATTGCCTTAGACCCTTGCATACCTATACCCGTTTGGAAAATCCATGTTACAATCTACGGGGAAGACGTACGTAGAAACTCAGAGTGTATTGTATATGTCCTGTTGTCGTCGCACCCATAATGCTCGAGCATCTACGGCTCCCTCGCCTCAGACCGAAGCTTCCGCTTTTCATTGATGTTCAACTCGATTATGAGCGTCGTGCTCATCGCTTGCTGTTCGCACCGCCAGTCAACATGCCAGAATACATCGTTAAGCAAGACTTGACAACTTACCATTATCGTGTGCCCTCGCGCCTCTCTATTTTTCGGCTCCCACTGGTCCGGAAAGCGCTCCTCGGCAAGCCAAACGCGGAGGTCTTTCACATCACCACCAAAGACCGAGTACATGAGCGCGTTGTTTCCGGAGCCTGGGCATGAAGCACGCACTGGTGAGAAAATCATCGCTCTAGCTGGAAAGGAGGAACGTACCGAAGAACTGGTGCAGGAAGCTCCATGTCATTGAGTATTGGCCATTGGTACGTCTGCACTCTGCGCGGCGGAGGCCAGAGAAGTAGACTATGTCGTCGAGCGACAGGGATTTGCCGTTTGATGCGTGGGAGAGGAACTTGTCTACTAGGTCGGGGTGCGGGGCGCCCTGGTCGGGACAGAAGGCGATGTCAGGACCTATGCATTTCGCGCGTCAGCACACCAACGGCTGGTCTGGAAAGTCCGGATGAGGAGCGTACGTGTAAATGAGGCGTCGTGCTGGATGACCTGTGAGATCAGGGGTCAGTGCGCAGTCAGATTTACGTGGTTATTATATCCTGTGATGACCAACATTCAAAGCGCTGAGGTCTTGCAAGTCGATCCAGCCCCGCCCTTGGTCAAGCTGATAGGCTGAAGCAGTGAGCTGGTCGGCGAGCGATGGCGCAAGGTTATACGCATGTTGGATGGCATGCGACAGTTGCTTGTAGCTGATGTGTTTACCACTGCGGGGCAAGATGTCTGCGCAATGTTCAGATCAGCGAAGGACAAGCATGCCGAATCACAGTTTACAATTCCCCGTACCGTGGTTGGCAAGAGCGTTGAGTCTTGGGCGCGTCAGAAGTAACTTTGTGAAAAAGATAAGAAGACATACGCTGGACAGGGCGAACGGGAGTCGGTGGCTTGGATGGGCGCCTGAAATTGCGGCCAGACGCCACCGTGACCTGGATGGTCCGAAAGCACGACACTTCCAACGTGACGACGGGGGAGGAACAAGTTTGCGATCTGTACACAGTGTTGTCGAAGTTAGGATTCAGGCACAGGCATAAACCGAGGGGGAATACACACGCAGTAGTAGAGGTCACGGATGGTGAGCCAAATGGCAGACAAGAGGAGAGAAGCAAGGGCAATTAGGAGGTTGATAAGCCTTCTAAAAATGCCGACAGCAGTGGTAAAGAAGTTAACCATGGTGGGCAAAGGCAATAGTTGGGGACTTGGGATAAGTAACGGATATCATTTGAAAAGCAGAGCGAGCCAGCATGTAGCTGGGCTTCTGCTCCCGATGGATTTATGAAGGCATTTATTGGAGTCCATTTGGTGGTCAGCTGAACCACGCAGGTCCTCCTTGACTGGCTTCTTTGTCAAGGGCTTCATTCGGTGAGGCTGCATAACAAATCACTGGTATTAGTGTCTAGTTGATTGGACATGGATTGATCACCTATCTAACCCAGATCTACCATGGGCTGGATAATATAAAATAATAATACCACTAGGACAAAAAGGTGTCCGGGCATGGTCCTCATCGGTCTAGGCCCCTAGGGTCATATCCATAGTCATAGTGGTATTATATATTTCAACAAATAAGGTATGGATTGGCAGATTGGCCAGTTAGTCCCACCTCTACGAACCCCTCGGTCCAGCAAGGCATTGGTCGAGCTTCTTCACATCTCTTTCACAGTATTTTCTGTCGCAAATATCGGTACCTTCGTAAACAGCATTCTTGTTCGATAGCAGAAAGTTGAAAGAATTCGGCCAACCCTTGCTTTAAGCCACAACCTTACAGCCGCCGATAATATCCCCCTGGATTCAGCTGCGGGGTCAGCAAGGCATCCCGTGCCCCTCTAGAGTCGCTCTGCTACGTTTACCAACTCACGCAGTGTACGGCAGTGGTCATCGCAATTCAGATGCGAGCTGGTCTGGCTTCTTGAATTATCAGGAAGGATTGGAAATAGAATTCCCTGCAAGTCATATGTGTCATATATTGACCATTTCTGACTCACTGTCCCATCGCAGCGGAGGCTAAACCAGAAGGAGAGCCCGAGTCGTCAAATTTTCTTGCAATTAAATATTGAAGACGGGTATTGAGGTTATATACTGTGTTGACAAACGATCGCGAGTATCGCTTATAGGGCATCCACAAGTATATCCGATCGACTCTCCCAGCTGAGATTGCATACACAACTTTGTACCTTCACAGTTCTAAGTTTGATCGAGATTGCCTGGCTTATTCTTTTGTCGATCATCTAAATCGCAAGATGGATCAACCAGTACAACATGTTGAGCTCGCCTTCCGTCCAAAGGAAAGTTCCACGGCGCCTGTCAGCAGTATTCGGAAACCAGGGGATCAGGTAGTCGTGACTACTGAGGCGAAGGTGCATCATGCAAACCAGCGGAAAAGCCATGCACCAAGACGCAGCCGGAAATATGCCATGCCAGCGACCGAATCCCTGAAAAGCCCAGCAAAGGAAGGCCCTGAGCAGAAAGACATTGTGATACATGAGTGGTCCGATGTCCCTGGACCATTACACGAGGCTGTAATTGCCTCTCTGAAAGAAGTATGCCATGATCTAGACACCCTCGCCAGATCCGGCTACAAAGTCCGCGAGATGACACAAGAGGACCTGGAAGGCTATGCAAAGTGTATGAATTGCGGAGGTCCGTATTAATACCTCCACTGGTATAGAAGACGAGAAATGCTGAAAGCTATGCAGGACGCAAGCGAGTTCTAGACACCAAATCGAAAACAGCTTGTTTCTACCACCCGATGAAACTCAATCGCCAGACGAAACAATACAAGTATCCATGTTGTGGGAAGAAAGAGGCATGCGCCTCATTGCCGGCGCATGTTTACGCACCTGTTCAAGATTTTCTGCTGGAGAACTGGCAGCGTTATCGATTAACGCCTAGTCCAGAACCAGGCCTTTATCAACCTCGGCGGGTGGTCGCACTCGACTGTGAAATGGTCGAGGTTGAAGGAGGAAGTGCGGAAGTAGCGCAGATCTGCGCCGTCGATATCCTGACCGGTGAAGTTATTGTCGACAAATACGTGGTCCCGTCCAAGACAGTGACGGACTGGCGTACTCCTTGGAGCGGGATATCACAGAAACTCCTCGAGGACATGAAAGCGGCCGGAAAGACTGTCAATGGATGGGAAGAGGCTCGGAAAGCCTTATGGGCGCACATTGATCCAGACACCATCCTCGCTGGGCAGTCGCTCCAGCACGACCTCGACATTATGCGGATGGTTCATTTGAGTGTCATTGACACGGCTATCCTCTCTCGGGAGGCAGTAGCAAAAGATTGCAAACAGAACTGGGGGTTGAAGCGACTATGCAAGCAGATGCTCGATCGAGATATTCAGCAATCGCGGAGAGGACACGATTGCTTGGAGGATACAATGGCGACTAGGGAGGTGGTTCTCTGGTGTGTTCGGCACCCCGACAAATTCCAGGACTGGGCTGCATCCCAGAGGGAATGGAAGAAGAAGGCCGATGCGCATTGGAAATGTAAGCGGAAAGAGTCGGATAAGGATCAGGTCAAGCAACCACGAGAGAGTGTCTCTCAAGTACCGGCGAAATAGAGTACGTCGTATGTTTATATGTCGCAGTCTGGCCCTCTACATTTTGGATATATCACCTTCCTTTGGAATATGCTAGATACCCACAGGACTTTATACACATTACTCTTGTCAGAACATCCCTCTCTGTGCAATTTAGAACTATGATTTGGGTACTGCAATATCATCATCGACTAATTGGGACTAGTAGTGTTTTTGCGTGACTCATAAATTCTATCCAAGTCAACTGAGAGCCCAGAAACCTTATCAGAACACATATCGTCACAACAATCATGTCTAATCATCCCTTGGGTCCAGTCGTCACATTGCCTCCGGCCAAACTACCCTCAGAGGTTACCCTCACCGGCCGCACGGTTGCTCTGACCAAACTCAACGCAAGCCACGCCGCTCAGCTCGTCCCCCTGATCGGTGGTGACGATGAAAGAATCGCTGCCCTTTGGGACTACATGCCCGACGGTCCATTCAACGACTTGACGACTTTCCAAGAAGCCATCACGGCCAAATCGAAATCTTCCGACCCGTTTTATTTCGCAGTCATAGACCCGCCAGGAAGGCCAGAACCCCGCAGTGGGGCATGCTGTGGGCTATCTCTCGTTAATGAACATCGTCCCTCAGAATCTCAGCATTGAGATTGGGAATGTACTATTTTCTCCGACGTTGCAGCGGACGACGGTCGCTACCGAGGCGTTCTACCTTGTTCTCAAGTACGCGATTGAAGAATTGGGCTTCCGCCGAATCGAGTGGAAGTGTAATGCGCTGAATGCGCCTTCCAGACGTGCTGCGCTGAGATTGGGATTTACCTTTGAAGGGATCTTTCGGCAGCATATGGTGATCAAAGGGAGGAATAGAGATACGGCATGGTTCTCGATGCTGCGCGATGAGTGGGAGGGTGGTATCAAGGACGCTATGGAGGCGTGGCTGCAGGAGAGCAACTTTGACGGCAGTGGTAGGCAGAAGAAGAGACTTGAAGAGCTGCGGATGGAAAGGCAATCCATAACTCAGAATTAGGGGTCGTTTTCTGCGCATTGACTATGCACTCTCTTACGGAGGAGGCACCAGTCCAAACAATAGACAGGATAGAGTGGTCTCTTTGGACAACACAATGCCTGGTTGCACAATTTCTATTTGTGGATCCTCATTTCCATAATATTTTAAGAAGCTTGGAAAATGTGTATCAATTCAAAGTCAAATGGCAAAGAAAATAGAGAAAGCGACAAAAAGAAAGGTGATGCGTTAGCTGGGAGTCGAACCCAGATCTATTGCTTGGAAGGCAATAATGCTAACCGCTACACCACTAACGCTGACTTGTGAGAGGTGGCAAACTTTACGTTATATGATGCAAATTGTCAAAAAAGACATGATTATATTTTGCTGCCCATCCCAACTGTTAAATGCTATGCGGGCTCAAGTATCTGATAATGCTGACATTGTATAAACTTCAGACAGGGGAACCTCACGCGTTCTTCTGCACGTGTTGATACTCGTCACCTTCGGCCAGATATGGCTGTGGCATTCAGCAACTTATCTTTAGATATCTACGGCCGTCACTATATATGTAGATGTCTACTTGCTTCCCAAAAACAAGTCACCACTTCTTGAAAAGGGAAAAAGGGTGAAAGAAGTAAATATGTCTTCTGTAAAAAAAGGGTCATGTAGGCAATAACTTATATATTTTCAGCTGCATTCTACATGATAAGCCTACGTGATATGCATTAAGAATCATTCAACGGCATCAGACGGTCATCCATCCAGGGGTATATTCGGAGCTACATAACTCTCGATTCTCTCGTCTCCTGAGGTTAGATACATATTATTTGACGTGATGACTCATTTCGACTCAGTGTAATTCAGACTTCAAGCTCAAAATCTCCAGCGGGTTTAGGCGGAGTTTAGGCGTATTTACGGAGTCTGGATATCGATCCCCAGCATGACCTATATATAATGCATCAAGGCATGAATAACAAGGCCTTTCTTTATCCTTCGTCACATCGCCCGCATCATTGAGTGCACCTGCATCGCTATTAATAATAATGACGAACACGCCATCCACTGTCGTGCTTATTACAGGTAAGATGATCAACATACATGCCTCAAAGCCTGGACTAACCATTGCAGGCGCAAATTCCGGCATCGGCTTCGCAACAGCCAAAACCATCCTCTCAGCCTCGTCAGACTACCACGTCATCATCGGCAGCCGCTCTGTGCAAAACGGCCAGAATGCAGTCGAAGCAATTCAGTCCATGGGGACCACAAAAGGCTCTCTTTCTAGCGTCCAACTAGACGTCACTGATCCTACCTCAATTGAATCGGCCGCAAAGCATATCGAATCGCAGTTCGGCCGTCTGGACGTCCTGATCAACAATGCCGGAGTCTTCTCACAGGCACAATCAACTAAAAAGGCAATGGAAGAGACGTTCGCTGTAAACTGTATCGGGCCTGCACTGGTCGCCGAGGCCTTCAACCCCCTGCTAATGAAGTCCGCTCGTCCGTACTCGATTTTCATCTCGAGTATTCTGGGATCGTTGTCCGAGGCAGCTGATCCCGCGTCTCCGGTCCACTATTATGACGGCGTGACGTATCGGATGAGCAAGGCTGCGCTGAATATGTTGGTTATACAGCAGCATAAGCTGTTTGGTCCCAAGGGGATTAGGGTATTCTCTCTGTGCCCGGGATTGGTGAGATCGAATCTGAGAGGGAAGGGAGAGGAAGATGTCTCCGCAGGAGGAAGGGCAGGCGATCCGATGGTTCCAGCAGAGATGATTTTGGGTTTAATTGAGGGGAAGCGAGATGCTGATGTTGGGAAATTTTTGCGTGGTGAGAGGGTGTTGAATTGGTGAACCCTATAGGTAAGTGGTACAATTGCGTGGTAGCGCTTAGTTGAAGTCGGCGTTGGTTGCAGGAACGGAGGATATCTTGAATATCAAGGGTGATCTCGATCAGAGTTTGTATACCCAAAGCTGGAAAAATTGATCACACTTGTCACTATAAATTGGTTATTGCACGTTGAATAAGTCCATCGAATACGGAAGGCTTCACTGGCAGGTCTAGAAGATAATGGAAGTGGTCAAGCTTGCTGTTGACAAAGTTTGAGATTCTTAGGGAACGGAAATAAGTTTGCAACTGCACTGTCGAGTACTTTCAACCACTGATGTCAAAGACCAACATTAGGAACATATCAACCCATCAGATCATCCAAAAACTCTCTGCGAAAACGCCTGAATCCACTCAGCCACGTCTTTAGCCTCCCTCAAGTGGATCAACAGATGACCCTCGCCCTTGACAACCTCCAAGCGCACATCCGCGTTAACCAGCCGTTCCTTGATCTCCATGGCATCCTGTAGCGGATACGTCTTATCATCTTCGCCATGAATCAGAAGAACTGGAACACGAATCTCCCCCAGTCGATCAAGCAGCGCATCCCTCTCCATCATTGAGTTCAGCGTAGGCTCCACATTCTCAGCGCCTGAATGGCGCTGGATCCAGTCCTGCTTGATCCGAGTCGCACGCGGGCTGTCGACATCAGGATTCCCGCCCCAGCTGAGGATAGCAGCATTCATGATCTGCTCGCTGGGAGCAGGTGTCGCAACCCAGATATCGCGAAGCTGGTAGAATGCGCTACGTTGAGCGTCAGTCGCGGCTGATGCGTTGGAGGCGAGGAGAACGAGGCCCGAGAATCTGGCCTGATCGAGCAGAGCCAGGCGGAGGGCAATCATCGAGCCCATGGAGATGGCGGCGATCATCACTTTCGAGAGTTCGAGTTCTTTCTGTGGATTATTAGCTTTGCCCTGGCTGTAAGGGATCTGTTCATACCAAGAGAGCAAGGACATCCTCAGCTTGATTCCAGAGAGTATATTCCTTGCGGCCGGCGGTGGTCTTTCCATGGCCGTTCAAGTCGATGCGGAGGAGGTTGACATTTGGCAGCTGTGGGGCGAGAAGCTGGACAGTCTCTTCCCACATGGTTGAGGACATCCACGAAGCATGGATGAAAAGAATGGTGGGATTGCCCTTTTGCAGGGGTGCCTGTGTTTGCCAATAAAGGCCGTTGCTGGCGAATCCAGAAGACATGATGGTTCTATAGGTATTTGGGTAATGATCTCTTGTTCTTGAGCCTGTAGTTAAGAATCATAGAAGATGGCGAATGTGTAAATTTATATTGTGGACAATTGATGTAATGGCATCGTTACGCTGCCGGTTAAGGTTGGAGTATAACGTTATGCGGAGATACGTAGTTATGGGGGATCTCGCGAATACGACATATCCTGCAAAATCATAGTATACCCTCGTATTCATAACTGAATCTTGTGTTTCGGACAATTCTAATATACTAGGAAATCGCCTAGTGAGTGATCTAGCCCAGCCACATTTTCGTAGTCGTGTTGCTGTGATTGACACAGTCCTCAGGAATTCGAAAGAAGGTTATTGCTCGCGGAACTGTTCAAACACTGGTTTGACCTGAGAGCCCAGCAGGACCAAGCCAGTGCCTTCCGCCATCAACAAGGACATGGCTGGGTTCATATACCAAGGAATGTAATGATGGATCTACCAGATGGCATAGCGGACTGGATTTGCCCGATCCATCAAAAAATAGTGTCTGCTCATCAAGCACTGGTCGCAACTGTGTCGTAATTTTTGTAGGAGACTAGATGACACTAATCTGTCTAATTTGGTATTAGTTGAGGCATTGTGTTTGATAATGACACATCCTGCCAGTTTGAATTCCCAGGCTTTACCTCGTAGCTCGGTCAGGCACCGTTCCCATGCCCTTAGGCTGAGATTGAACCTGGAACAAGCCTCTTCATTAAACTGGGTCACCAGGCCCCGTAGCTTATGTAGATTAGTAAATACTTTCCTATAGATGATGGTCCAATATTTGAACTTGTGAAAAACCCCAGCGCTATTTAACCTAGAGCATTTTAACACAGAGAAAGTACGCCTGTAGTAGGCTCCGAAGTCGCATATGCGAGCACTGATATTGAGCGTCCGAAGGGTGACGACAGCAATTTTCGTCGTCCTGTGCAAAAAGCTGCTCCTTATCGCACTGCAATATTTACTTGGAAACGGACAAATGCAAGGTACCTAGGTATTCTGGACGTTTTATTCCAGATTATCAGTACGTGACTATCACACTGACACAGAGCTGTCTTAATTGAAGAAAGTACAGTGTATAACGCAATCCCACTGTCAAGAGCTTCTGATATGGGTGATGTTGACGTGAATTGCTACCTAGGGTTACCTTGCCTGTCTACAACACTAACCAGCTACCTGAATTGTACTGGGCAAACACGATGGCTCCAAAGTTTCTGGTAAACTTGGATGGCTAGAACAAAGTCTGACGAACAGAAGATCAGGCTCAATAATCAGTACAGTGACTTGCAAATCACATTAAAGGAATATCTCGCTAGGCTGCTCATATGCACCAAGTACTATAATCTTTTTGACCTGTCAAGACAGTCCTGCATCACTGCCTGTGATGGTTGGGGCCAGCGCCACTCCCTCCTCTGCATCTGACACTTCCTTGCCAGGGTTCTGCAAATGCCTGAGACCTGAGAGTTTTTGCTTAATCCATTGTATCACTCTGTACCATACTGGAGTTGATAGCTGGCTGATCGTACTGCGTAGCTCTATAATCTCTCTAGTTGCAGTTATGAGCTCATTATGAAATTCCATGTTCTCTTTATGAGTGGCACACAGCTCCTCTGTCACTGTCTCCAGAGAAGCTGCAGTACTTGCAAGCTGGGAGGTGATGGAGGTATTCTTATTGTTCAATCCCCCCACCTCCTGTTTTAGGATGCTGATCTCTGACTGCAAGGTCTTCTTATTGTTTTCCAAGCCCAGGTTGAGAGACTGAGCTTTATGCAGTTGAGTAGTCGTTGCCATCAGCTCCATAGTTGCTGACTGTTCCTGTTCTTGTAGATCATTATACTTGTCCTTCCCAGAGTTGATATCTGCTTGAAATTCTGCATTCTGCTTGCGCAGTTTCTCGCATTCCGCAGTTAGGTTGGTCTCCTGGTTCTTGTAGCGTTCTTGTTCTTCCTTGGCTCTCTTGAGTAAAGTTGATAGGCGAAAGTTCTTGGCAATGAGTCGACAGTTTTCTTCCTTTTGGTCTTTGAGCATCCCTTGATCCTTCAGCAGCTGTGCGTAAGTCGCTTGACTCGCCACTAATTCCTTCTCCAATTGTGCCTTGTTGCTGATATGTCGGCGAAGTATCACAGGAAGAGCCTTGACAGAATCTTCCTTGACTCTAAGCAGGCTTTTACACTTATTCACCTCTTTCAGGAATGAATTGGAGACTTGAAGCGACGTTTCCAGTCGTTCTTTATAGGGCTGGTAGACATGCTCGATACAGTGAAGGACAGTCACCCATTTAGCCATAATATCATTCACCTGATAACCATGATGCCGGCACAATCCCAATCTAGCAAGACGACGGAGCTCCCTTTTGGTCACGTCATGTGGCAGTTTTATGGATAGGCTGTCTAACAAACAGAGAATGGCATTAGACCTATCCTGCGGGATAACCAACCGACAGCGACTGTCGTAGTTGGAGGGCTCCAGGCCAACGTAGAAGATGCCTAGCCCTGAGCCCTCGTCTATCTGGAGGATAGTGTCGGGATCCCAAACGGCGGTCGACATATTGCACACTTTTGATGTTGTTCAGATTTCGCAGAGGAGAAGATGACATGACGTTGCGGGGTTTTATGCTCCTGTGCCGCATTTCTGGCCCTGGTCACCTTGGCTAATAATAGCAACACAGCCTTGTTGGTGTCGTACTTTGCGCATGTACCATATCTGTATGAACTAAAGCAGTTTTCATATGATTGAACCGGAGAACAGGTTTAGTCATCCGTCTTTCGATTTATATCTAGCGCACGGCATGTAATATCCTTGGATCTAGCACAGACAGCCGATGTAAATATAGGCAAAGCCTGCAAGTCTTTGTAAACTAGGCTGTAAAAGTCCTTGCAGACTCTTGTGCATCAGAGTCGCAGCAGTTTAGAAAAAGACCTTGGCGTGACTAGAGTCTTCGAACCTGCTCATGTCGAAATTTGGAGTGACTTGTGTCCGCGAATCTCCAACACTTTCCCTTAGCATTGATACCCAAAACCCGCGTAGAACGGCCGAAGATGCTATGAGCTACCGTTCCCTGGATACAGGGAAGCCGGAACATTATTGGAGCCTTGCTGCAGTTGGGCTGCAGTCCACTGCTTTATATGTGTCTCAGATGTGAGATATCCAATTATCATCACACCCTACTGCAATCTATAAAGCCCGCTTCACCCCATCAGCCGCCTGTTCTTACGAGACTTGTTGTCATCTGGGTCGAATTTTGGTTTACAAACAAGCTACCGACGATGACTACCAGAATCAAGCTACTGTACTACGCGGTTGATTTGCCTTGCCAACTGCCTACCGAAGCTGAAATCGATGAAGCTCCAAATATTGCCGAGCAATTCGGAGGCCGGAGAATTGTTGCAATTGAGCCCCATTTCGTGGTGAAGTTTGGAATGGGTATAGACCTGCTTGAGGGAGAGAACATGATATTTGTTCGTGAGAACACGAGCATATGTGTCCCTCGGGTCTATGCGCTTTATACAAGCATGAATACTGGGAAGAAGTACATCGTCATGGAATGGATTCCTGGTGAGACGCTCTTGTCATCATGGTCCTGGCTGGGCCTTTCGGAAAAGGAGTCTGTCACCACTACGCTGTGTTGATACTTTACTGAGTTACGACAGCTTCCGCAGCCAAGCTATTACGGTAGTCTGGGTGAACGGCCTCTTCTAGACGGGATATTCTGGACACAGGAGCCAGAGCCGGCCATCAATGGCCTGTTCACGTCCAATGAGGACCTCATCGAAGGGATGGCTAGGAAATATATCCATGACTCTGGGCCTTCAATCAGAGCGGACTTCCTTCGCCATTGCCTACCACGTGTCCTCTGTGATCAGCGCCCAACATTCACTCATGGTGACTTTCAAAGGAAAAATATAATGCTGCAAGTTAAAGAAGGCGATGCCGGCGGCGATAGCGCTGAACTGCAGGTTGTGGTCCTTGACTGGGAGAAGTCAGGCTGGTATCTGGCTTACTGGGAGTATTGCCTAGCTTATTGCGCCCTATGGTTTGATAATGATTGGTGCCTCTGGGTTGATAAAGCGCTGGAGCCTTTTATCTCTGAGGCTGCCTGGCTGTACCAGATACGTCTGGAGTTGTGGTCTTAGGGATATAAGGTGTTGGAATTCTCTAGTTTCCTAAGTCTATATTATCTACTAGGGAAGCCAAATGGGAGCCAATAAGTAACCTAGGAATCAAACTTGCGCAAGTTGATTCATACCATTTTCAAGATTAACAGCTCATGTGGGAATATGTCTTTCTAGGGTTGGTATAAGAGAACATACAACCTACGGAACTTGCTCCTCAGATGGATCCTCTGTATAAAGCTCTAAGTGGACAAACTTCTTAGTAAATATGGCAGGAGTACCCGACCAGCACGAGCATCGCTTAAGACGGCCTTATCCACTCATATCCCTCCGGAACCGAGCTTGATTGAATTCGGACATGAACGGATCCCAGGGAGGAGTCCCGAGACCAAGTGATCATAGGAGACTCGGCGGTTCCGCACGAGGGATCGCCAGCTAAACACAAACGCACTAAAATAACCATTTGTATCCTCGTGAGCCGCTTCGGATGCAGATCATGGCCGAATCATGGCTTAGCTCATTTAAGTGAACGAGCTGGCTGGGTGGCTGTAATGGACTGACCCCAGACTCTCTTTACTTGGACGGACAATATCACTCATGGTTGAAAGAAGTGCAAAGGAATGTCCACATTATTGAGCACAGTTAAATTGTATGACTGTGACCAGCTGAGCTCAAATACCAGACTAGTTAATGCGCAACAGCCTCCTTCGAGAAAAGGCTTACTACGGCGGACTGAATGTACAAAGCGGCCAAAATAAATTTTTACAATGATTACCTTCCGCCACACTACTACCAAAACTACCACACACACCACTATGCCTATACCCTATCTAGTATGCTTATAGAAACTAATGTTTTTATATAAAATATATGGTACCTATATCGTATAGATATTGAATGATTCAAATCATCATATAGTCGGGATTCGAATCGTCATATAGTAGGGATATCGAATCAC